GGGGGGGGGGGGGGGGGGAGCTGAGTCCAAGTTTGACAGCAAGTGTGCCCGGAGAGGAGAGAACAAACTTGTTGGGCCGGTTACTCTTCTCCTTCCACATCAGCAGGTGCAATAGTGGGCTCTTTGTTTCACATCGAAGCGATCTACACGAGGCAATACGTTATCGGCTGCTTCAAGTGTTTCCGCCGTTAACTGTCGCGGTGTGTCAAGTTTTAAATTGCAAATGAATTGTTCATCATTGACGGGGACGGTTACAACGTGTTTTACAGCTCGATTCTGTTAAAAGGCCAGAACCTTTCAAACCTGTTTGTGTGAGGAGCCATCAGACCTCATAATTAGGCTAATTACACAGAGCGATCAAATGAAGGTTAATCACATGATAAACATTGCAATTACCAATTTGTTTTCCCCATTAGCTATTGTGAGGACCCCAACCAGTTGATAACCATTACAAATGAGATTTGGAGCTGTGACTACTACAAAGAGTAAAAAGCCCCCCCCCCCCCCCCCCCCCCCGGGGGCAGCGACAAAACAGGATAACAGGTTAGAGATGAAACGGTAGCTGCACCGCTTTCATTTACCTGTAAAGACATCACATGGAATGTATTCTCAAGTTGACAATAGCTTCAAGGTGTGAAATAGCTCTGCTGCTGTACGTCTGAGCGCACAGATGCATTACAGGAGGTCACTTACATTCCCACTAAAACCTGCAGGTGTTCAGTGCGCTTCGCTTTTTGTTGAAGAAATGATTTGACACTTTCATGGACCTTTGAGTCTCTAATTTGATTCAGTGTTCCGCTCTGTTTAATGTGTTTGTGTATGAGTAAGCATGTGTATGTGTGCATGTGTGCGTAGATGGTTCACTGAATGGGCCTACAGGGTGCAGGCAAAGACTCAAAGCGCCAACAACTACAAAGACACACAAGATGACCACCAAAGAGGCAGAATGACAACAAAGAGATGCAACATGAGCACAAAGACACACCAAACAACAACAAAAGGATGCAAAATTACCCCAAAAACAAGCAAAACAACAACAAA